ATATATATATATATATATATATATATATATATATATATATATATATATATTTATTAAATATATTAAACACAAAAAATAACAAAAATAATTAAAAAATAAAAAAAAAACAACGAAAAAACAAGATAACTTTTCACGTGGGTAAACAAACAATCGAGAGCAATGAGAAGAGAACTCATTTTAATAGTTATGTTTTTGTGGTAACCTTGTAATTATTGTAATTAGTTATATTTTTCAATTCTACTTTGTTTAGTTCTTCATTGTAAAAAAAGAAGATTAGAATATATTTCATTTTTTGTAATGTAAATATGGACAAGACAACTTTAAAAGACATCCCTGGGTGGACCAGAAGTCTAATAGTAGGGCGGTCAAACGCTTGGTTTACTTTGGTTCAATCCATGTATGTTTTTAGTTTACGGGCAACGATGACGACCGAAGATTCTTAACAGTAGATTGTGGCACTCATGTTACAACGGACCTTGTGACGGGACATGATATTCATTTTTCAACATGTATTCTACAACTCATTTGATTTTTTTTTTCTTTTTAGTTTTTTAACGAGTTAGTTTTATATGAGATTACATACATCATAATAAAATTTTAGACAACATATTACATGTTATAAACATTTGTAATCCGAAATAAAATTATAATCATATGTTATTTTTATGATTATCCCATTATTTATTTGTTCACATTAATTAGGATGAGATTTATTTTTGAAAGTTTTGGGTGTGTATAAGCAATGAAAACCAAAGATAAAGGTCCAAATCTAAAATTACAGATTTTGCAAACCTTTTGACTTTTTCCAAAAAACCCAAAGAACAGCGAACGAAAATGAATCGAAAGGCGAAAACTTGGTCTTGCTCTCTTTCGCAAAACACAGAATTAGGGTTTGAATAAAACCCTCTTTAACACTTGATACAAAAACACAGATCTCTAAATCCAAATCAACCCCTTTTACAAGATTTAATTTCATAGAACCCTTGTTAGGGTTCCACCAATGGGTCGTCATCCAATACCCTTAAAGCTCCTGTCACTTCTCTGGGTCTTCATCACTTCTTTCAGTTCCTACGCCGTTTTCGGTAACGATTTGGACAAATCGGCACTGCTGGAGCTCAAGAGTTCCGTTTCCGACCCGTCGGGAGTGCTGGAAAGCTGGAGAGAAAGCAATTCGGATCTCTGTTCGTGGGTCGGAGTCTCATGCGGGTCGGATTATCGGGTTGTAGCTCTTAATATCACCGGTGGAGGTAATTCAGGCTCTTTCACTTGTACTGAATATGATCAATTTCAACTATATGGATTTGGAATCAGGAAAAAATGTGTGGGTCGTAATGCGAAATTGATGGGTAAGTTGTCAAATGCTATCTCAAAGCTTTCAGAACTTCGAATCTTATCGCTCCCGTTCAATGATTTAAGTGGTGAAATTCCTGATGAAATTTGGGGTATGAAGAAGCTGGAAGTGATTGATCTCGAAGGGAACATGCTCAATTGGAATTTAAACTCCAATTTCAGAGATATGGAAAACCTTAGGGTTTTTAACCTCGGGTTTAATCAGATATCTGGAAAAATACCCAATTCGTTATCCAATTTGAAGAATCTCCAAGTCATAAATCTCGCAGGAAATCATCTAAATGGTTCAATTCCAATGTTCTTCAACGAGTTTACCAGTTTAAGGGGTTTATACTTGTCATTCAATCAGCTTTCAGGCAAAATCCCAAGTGAAATCGGGTATAATTGTGGTAATCTTGAGCATCTAGAACTCGCAGCAAACTTCTTACTTGGAGCTATTCCCCCAAGTTTATCAAATTGCACCAAATTGCGATCAATTTTGTTGTATTCAAATATGCTTCAAGAAGAAATCCCAATCGAAATTGGTCAGCTTAAATCGCTACAAATATTCGATGTTTCAAGAAATAGTCTTAGCGGCCCAATTCCACCACAACTCGGGAATTGCACAAACCTCTCGATTCTCGTGTTCTCAAACCTCTTCACTTCCATCCCTAATTCCGCTCAATCCGAAGAAGAGTATAATTACTTTCAGGGTCCACTACCTTCCGAAATTACTATTTTACCCAAGCTAAAGCTGCTATGGGCACCAAGAACAACTTTAGAAGGCAAATTTCCGACCAATTGGGGCGCTTGTACAAGCTTACAAATGATAAATTTGGGTCAAAATTTCTTCACAGGTGAAATCTCAAACGGGCTTAATCTCTGTAAAAAGTTGCATTTTCTTGATTTGAGTTCAAACAAGTTAACAGGACAACTTAGCAATGAACTCCCGGTTCCTTGTATGACTCTTTTCGATGTCAGCAACAATCATCTCTCAGGGGCAATTACGTCTTTTGGCCACCCCGTCTGTGAACCCCTCGATCCATCATCAACATACATACAATTCTTCGCATCTCAAGCTCCAAATAATGGTGGAAATCGTGCAATAATTCATAATTTCAGCAGGAATAATTTCACAGGATCGTTAATTTCAATTCCGGTTGCATCAAAACCGAAAAAAAACTCGGTTTATTCGTTTCTCGCCGGAGAGAACAACCTCACCGGAGTTTTGTTCGATAAATGTCCGGATTTCAAAGAAATTGTTGTGAATCTCAGCTCAAATGGGTTTTCCGGCGAGATTCCGGCGAATATTGGCCGGAATTGCAGATCTCTGCGGGTTTTCGATGTCTCCGGGAACCGTTTATCCGGGATCATTCCTTCTTCTTTCAGTGAATTAGATTCTTTAATTTCACTCAATTTGAGCTACAACATGTTGCATGGAGTAATCCCCGATAATTTTGGAGAAATTAAGGTTCTCAGGAATCTCTCATTATCAAACAACAATCTTTCCGGTTCGATTCCTCAAAGTTTAGGAAGTTTAAAGTCTCTACAAGTTCTAGAACTTTTCTCCAATTCCTTATCCGGAAAGATTCCAGAAGATCTTGTAAATCTAAGAAATCTAACCGTTTTTTTACTCAACAACAACAAACTCTCCGGCGAGATTCCGGCAGGATTCACAAAGATGATCAAATTCAACATCTCCGGCAACAATATCTCCGGCCCTTCGCCGGAAAACTTAATGTCAAGCACAAGCACAGAACAACAACCACCACCGGAGCCCGGAAGATCCGCCAGTGGCGATTTCGTAAATTACTCCAACTCACCAACTCCATCCACAAAATCCAACAACCAAAACTTCAGTTCAATCGAGATCGCCTTAATCACATCCGCCTCCGCCATTTTTTCCGTCCTTTTAGCTCTCATGGTTCTCTTCTTTTACACCAAATGGCGACCCAAATCCATAACCCACGGGTCGACCCGTAAAGAAGTCACCCTTTTTACGGATCTCGGTGTCCCATTGACTTTCGAGAGCGTGATTCAAGCCACCGGAAACTTCAATGTCAGCAATTGTATCGGAAACGGTGGGTTCGGGGCCACGTTTAAAGCCGAAATCGCCCCCGGGTTTCCGGTGGCGGTGAAACAGCTGGCGGTAGGGCGGTTTCAAGGCGTACAACAATTCGATGCGGAAATCAAAACATTAGGGCGGCTCCGCCACCAGAATCTTGTAACCCTAATCGGATACCACGCGAGTGAAACCGAAATGTTCCTTATCTACAACTACTTGCCAGGTGGCAATTTGGAAAGATTCATCCAAGAACGGTCAACGCGTGCGGTTGACTGGCGGGTCCTACACAAAATCGCGTTGGATGTAGCGCGGGCCCTATACTACCTCCATGATCAATGTGTCCCCCGTGTTCTTCATCGTGATGTGAAACCGAGTAACATTTTGTTAGATGATGATTTCAACGCGTATTTATCGGATTTTGGTTTGGCGCGGCTTTTGGGTACGTCGGAGACTCACGCCACCACGGGAGTCGCCGGAACTTTCGGTTACGTGGCGCCGGAATACGCGATGACGTGTCGGGTATCAGATAAAGCGGATGTGTATAGCTACGGTGTGGTGCTTTTGGAGCTTTTGTCTGATAAAAAAGCGTTGGATCCTTCGTTTTCGTGTTATGGTAACGGGTTTAATATTGTTGGGTGGGCGTGTATGTTGCTAGGGCAAGGACACGCGAAGGAGTTTTTTACCGCGGGGTTGTGGGATTCGGGGCCGCACGATGATTTGGTCGAAGTACTGCATCTAGCAGTTGTTTGCACGGTGGAGTCGCTGTCGAGACGACCCACCATGAAACAAGTGGTACGGCGGTTGAAACAACTTCAACCGCCGTCATGTTAGTGGTCCCTACATATTTGTCTTGATGTCAAATATGTGGGAATTTGATAGTGGTCCCCATTGATAGTACTATTGTGATTATTTCACAATAGTACTGATAGTGGTCCCCACATGAGGGGAAGATATATAGTAGGCGAAGTTTTGTATTAGACTGGACATTCTGATTTACCTTCCTCATGTTGGATGCGGACTGTTTGGCGTGATGCCATTTAGTATTAATAGTGATTTGTAAATTGGTGTATAGGGTGGTTTGCACAGATGAAGATTTGTTGCAAACGTGTTGGATGTATTTTTATTACTTGTAATGTATCGTTTTTTATTTTTGTGTATAAAATTTTAAAAGTCAGGTCTTTCAATTATGATTTGGGTAGAGAAGAAGATTTGTTGCAATGGCACAGATGTAATTTCTTGTAGTGTTTCGTTTATTGAAATTTTGTATCAGAATAAAATATAAGAATCTCTAAATTATGCCGGAGAGATGATCGGCGGTGGATATGGTTATGTTTGGTGTTGCGTTTATTTTTTCTAATAGTTATTTTTGCATTTTTTTTTCAACTTCAAGCAATTCTTATGTACATAATCATATATTGCACGGAATCTTGAGATTGCATACATGTATATGGGGTGTGATTTACTTCGAATTCGAATATTTGATTTGTAGGATTTAGGGATGTAAAGGGATCCGAAGCATGGATTTGAGAACGCTTTGCGAGATTTGTGGATAAAAGCTTGGATGATTAAAGGAAGAAGAATTAATGAAGAAAAAAGACAAAACTGCAAATTTGGTACTTGTGGTTTGCAAAAATCTTTGGATGGGGTCCAAAAACTTTCCAGCTTGCACAGAAGATCCAAAATAAAGGTTTTTCTGGGTTTTTAGTCCAAAAAAATTTGAAAAGACGGTTATACCCTTATTTATTTACTTTTACATTTTTTTTACATTTTATTAATATTTCAATAATAATAATAATAAGAAAATAGGTAAAACTCTATCTCTCTTACGTCTCTTTCTCCCTCCTTCCCTCCACTGATACTTCTCTCTCTCTCTCTC